CCTGTTAATGGATAGGAGGTATAAGGCTTTGCATGAGTACACCTTTGAGGAAGATCTGGAAACATTAATCTGAGGATGAAAAATTAAGTGAGAGGGTTTTGGTGAATGACAGAAGCTTGCTAAGAAGTTTGAAATGCCACATAGTTCCTGGAGGAGGTGATACATTGCATGGGGTAGACTGGGCAACTGTGATAGGTAGCTTATCACATAGATACTGGTGTGACATAGCTGTTTGAAATTAAAAAAAAAAAACCAACCACAAACAAACAACCCGCCCATATAAATGTGAACTTTTCAGTAGTGGTTCTTGGGAATTCATCTTTCTTTAGTACAACTCCAAAAGAGTACGTGTTTTGTTTCCAGAAGGAGTGTGGTTGTTTAAAATGTGAACTGTGATGTGTGGATAATTACTACCAGATGTTAGCTTATTTGGACACGCATAGCTGTTGAAGGAGTTGTAGCTCTTTAACACGGAGGAAAAACTTGCACAAGGTGAATACGTTTTTTTTGGCCAGGCTACCTGTGGCTCTCAAAGCCTTGACCTGCAGGCAAAGCATGGGGCTCCAACACTAGGGCCACCTCACCTGGCCAGCAGCAGGACTGCGCTGGCAAACCTGAAAGGGTTAGGCCGGCTGGTTGCACATCCTCTCAAAGAAATAAAGAATTGCCAGTTTGCCATAAAACTGCATGCTTCTGGATTTGGGATCTGCGAAAGGAGCTGTGGGATGCTTGCGGAATACCTGCCCATTCCAGCTTGAGAACTGCTCATAACCTGAACTCTTGGAGGTATCTTGTCTTTCTCACATGAAGATTTGGTATAGGTACATAGCCAGGAAGGCTGGTTGCTTGTGTGCTTGGTATAAATACCTTTTTTGTACATTCTGGGATGTGGACTTCTGTTGAGCTTCCTGCTTTTAAAGCAGAGTGATGGAAACTGTTCCAGATGTTGGTACATCTTCACCCACCCTCACTTGTATTTAAAATGACCCTAAGCTGGTCTGTTTGAATCTCAAGTTGTAGCAAAATAGCTGGTTGCCAGGAAGAATACTCTTAAGCCTGTAACTGGGCTGTGTAACTGCCAGTAACACAAACAGGAATGACAAATTTTGTAATTTATTCCATTCCTGACTGGGACATTTTTGACATCTTGAAATTGTCCTGTTCTCTAACCCCCTACCTTGGACCCTTTTTTTTTTTTTTTCCTATCCAGTTGTAGTGGGGTATACCTCACCTTCCCAAGTGTCCTTGCTATGGGGTACACATCCCCCTGAACTCACTTGTCAAAAATTTCAAAATGTGTGAAGGATTTCTAACTGCCTAATCTTTCACAGGACAAGAAATGTCCAAGTCTCTTTCTTTATGCTGATAACTCTTTTTTGTAGCATCCAATAGTAGAGGTGCACCGCCCCGATACTGCCTGTGGCAAACCTTTTATCCCCAAACTCTGTTCTCATTCCTCCCTACATCTTCCTTCTTTAAGGTAAGGGGAATGTTTTGGCTAAAGCACAACTGTATTTCTTATGCACCTACAATAGATTCCTTGGAAATAAGAAAAGTAGGTACCCAGTAATCCTACGTGATCTTGGCGTAAACTCACATATTGTGTGAGAAACAGCTTTAAATTGGTATGAAGACCCTCCTTGAGTCTGACAACTAAGCGAGGATGATCCCTATTGCCAGACTTACATGGATAAATGAACAAGGCCAAAATTGCTCAATCCTTTGTCTTCCCACGAGTCTTCTCTTTCAATTTCTGATAGTGATTTTTCAACTAGAAGCTTGTGAAGCATGAACTGGAAGATTGCTCAATATTCCATCCCAAAGTGCATCCCTACCTGTCTTTAATTTAAACACTGAAGATGGCCTTTACTGGATTATTCAAGTGGCCTTTGGTATTTCACTACATTTAGATTTCAGGTCTTGGAAACTTCCATGTTTTCTTGGGGAGGCCCCTGTACCCGGAGCTTCAGTTCTCGCGGAACTTAGATAAAAGTGTGCTAAATTAACTGCTAGTTAGTCAAACTATTTCATGTGACTTCTTAACCATATGAGCAACTTCTTCTTGTTATTTTAGGCTGGCAGTCTCTATGGCTAGCTTTTTCTGAATATATCCTTTAACAGGAGCTGGTGATACAAGTCTGTCTGGATTTCTTGATTTGCAAAACTATGAACGGACAAGCGGGAGGTTGAGGCGCAAGGTTAAACAGCACCAGTAAAAAGCAAAAGGGCTTAAGAGCAGCAGAAAGCAAGAAACATTTTTGCAAAAATAAATTAGGAGGCAGTGTTGTTTTATTTTGGTTTGGGTTTTTAGTCCCAACCGCTGTCAGTCTTTAGTATATTCTGATCTCGTATGTCCTTTTCTCATCAAATTGTTTTAGGTAGAGACACATACAAAATGGGTGGACTATGAAGCAGGCCTTCTGGAAACACTGACCAAAACTCTTAGTGTTCCCAAAGGGCCTGCAGTGTGGTCCAGCCACGGGGCTGAGGGGGGAAGGTTTGAGATGTTTTAGTAACAGAGGGGGCTGGAAGCAGTCAGGGTCAAGGATGACTGAGAATTAGAATAAAGGATAAATATGCAAACCAACGGGAGGAGGCACATTAAAAAATAATAAATCTCCTAAGTGAGTTTATAAACTAATTTAGTAATGGACCACGGGTGCTGGAAAAGCTTTGGAAAATCCCATCAGGAGCCTGCAGCGTGGAAATAGAAGTGCTTTGGTAGTTTAACTTGCTTGCAAATCCACTACGTGGTTGTGCCTCAGCGTGCGAGGATGGGGCTCAGATAACTCACTGCAGCATTCACGTTTTCATCGGCGGCTGCTGTGTCCGTAGCGGGAACTGGCGCTGAAGAGGAGCTGACTCATCTCTCCTCCCTGCGCAGGGCAGCGGGGAAGAGCAGGGCCGGCCCTTGCAATAACCCAGCGCTCTGCTCTCCTGAGAATTTACCCTGCAGGGCGAGGCGTGGGTTTCAATCTTTGCCCACTGTCACTGCAAAAAGCTTCTAAGTGCTTAATGTAAAACTCCAACACGGCTACTTAATACCCTTACCACTGTGTCAGTGTCCAAATAACTGTTAAGACTGCTTAAAGTGGAGTGATTAAAAGGGGATCTTTCCCATGCAAGGTCAAAAATACAAATATTTCTAATAAAGGGGCGGCCCTTTCTTCTAACCAGCCTTTTCAGCTGCAGAATAATTTCCTATAACTTGCAGCAGATGAGAGTGCATAGCATAAAAATTACTCATTTTGATTAGTCTTGTGTCAGACCTTAATACACGACCGGTTTCTGGGTGCTCATTCCCTCTATTTTTTTTTCCTTAAGAATGGTGTATTTTACTGCTTTACTTGTCCTGCAGGCATGCAGTGGGTATTCCCCACCTCCAGGACGCGGTGCTCTTAAAGGGGTGACCTGGTGGGCGAGTGCTGCCGATAGCTGGGCTCAGGCTGTGGCAGGAGTGACGGGGGGCAAAGGGGGAACCTGCTGTAAAGGTGAGGTTTTCCCCAGGGGAAGATGTGTTCCCAAGGTGCAGGTGCGGCCCTGCCACTGCCAAACTCATCGACTGTGCTCAGGTGTGTAGCAGCTAATGGAAAAAATCAAAGTGATTTTTTTTGGGGGGGCCAGTGCATTATTTTTTTACTTATTTGCCCCTCCCCTCAACGTATCCTGGCTGAAGGAGAAGGATGCAGAGAGTTTCAAGCTCTCTGCCGCGCACAGGGGCTGTGAGCACGACCCTGGGCATTGACAGCAGCAAAGCTGCTCTGGCTGTGGCTCTCCCATTCAGCTCAGGCCTCCCGCTGCTTGTTTGTGCATCAACAAATGTAAGTGTGAAAGCAGCGTCTCGCAAGCCTGAAAATAAGGCTAAAAATAAGCTCCGACATCCGCAGAGGAGGGCAGCGTTCCCTTTCGCAGTCCTGGCTGCCGTTGGAGCGAGCGGAGATCGATCGGTCTCGTGTCTGGGGCTCGCCTTTCATAAAAGAAGGGCTGTGGCTTTAAGCGATCGCTGGCTGCTTGTGCCAATTGCAGAAGCTGCAGTATCTGCCGCTGTCGGGAGCGATCGGCGCGGAAGTCGGATAACCTGGGGAGAGGCAAGGTCCAGCGTCACGGCTCGGCCACACCAGCCCAGCCTGGCTGGTGGTGCCACCACCTGCGTGTCACCGATGAGTGCCGGGGGGCCGCCGGAGCTGGAAGATGGGCTGCTCGAGCAGCAAACTCTGCCTCTATTCTCAGTGCGCTGCAGCAAGGGTAATTAGGATTTGTTTCGCAGGGAGCTGGTCGGGAGCAAGGTGAAAAGCGTCTTGGCAGTGGGAAGCCTGGACCTTGTCCCCTCGGCACGGTGGCCATGGGTGCGAGGTGCCGGTCACCGAGCCCTGGAGCGGCTCGGCCCGGGGCAGAGGGGCCAGCCGCTGGGCAGAGCGGGGAGGTGGGCGCTGCTGCTTGTTGCGAGTGTAGATGGGTTACGATTCTCTCAGTATAAGGAACATCAATCTGTCTTAAGAACTGTGATCTGTGGGGTGGGTTGTATTCAACTTTGTGCAGGGCTGTGCCTTTTCTTCAAGGAAGACTGAGCATTTAGCAAAGTCTTTGGGTTTGTGTTTGAGTAAGCTCAAGATAAATATTTAATGCATGCCTCTTTCGCGTATATACTGTACTTTTGTGCCCTTGACAGCTATTAGTTGATTTGTTCTGGAGGCTTGTGTTGCTACACCCATCATAAAATATATAATTAATTGCTGCAAAGTAGGATTTTAATTGCAGTGTTATCCTGGTAAAAAACCCTATTCTTTGTTTTAAAGTATAACTTCCTTAACAACAGAAGAACATCTGTGTATTTTGTAACAGCAGAACTGTTATCCTAAATGATTCATATCTTGGCTTCTTGCTCCTGCCTCTTGTTTTGCTACAGAACACATGTAAGTTAATTATTGGAAGGTGCCCTGCTCAGATCACTAGGAACTAAATGTTTGGGTTTGTTTGTTGTTTTTTTCTTTCCTCTGCAGAGGGAGGAAGCACTGAAGCAGCGTAAAGAGTTATCTCAAGAACTAGTTAACCTTCGTGGAGAACTAGGTAAGTATTGATTTTTGTATTCTTCATGAGAACAGAAATGCAGCAAAACAGATCTGTGGAAAGACAGATGCCCCGGTGTTGTAATGGCAGGCATTTAATTCCCTGACTGGATTCTGCTGGGATGCTTTAATCGCTGCATTTCTCTGGAGCCCTGACAGCGTGACCCCAGGTTCACCGAATTCCTGGCACTGATGTGACTGCGCCTAGCGGGGCCTCCTCGCAAAACATGCGTCTGGTGACCAAAGCACTCACTTTCTTAAAAATGGGAGGCTGGCTGACAGTATATATATACTTCTGTTTGGCCCCGAGTTTATTTGTACGCTGTCTTCTAGAGACTTGCTGGCAAAAATCTATAAACCTGTAAAATATACTGCGCAAAATCTGCTTTTTGCCTTAGTGGCGTGTAGGTGAGTGAGTGTAAAGTGAGCAGAAGGAAATGCAATCAGGCTAATGGGATTAAATCTTTGAACTCATCCTAGTGGACAGCTATAATGTGAAATGGAGCTATAATGTGCAGGGGCTGGTTTTGCCAACTTTGAAGCTTGATTTAATTGCATATAATGGTAACTTCATATAACTGATTTGAATTCAAAGCAGAATCATCTTGTGGAGCCCAAAATGTCATTGGATTGACAATGAGAGCACTTGAAAGTGAAGCTAGCGTTTTATAAAAGCACAGTTCTGTTACGGTGAAGCCCCTTTAAAAAAGAAAAAAGCTTTGAAAGCAGAAGTAAAATGTGTGGAGCAGTTTCAGATACGTCACTTATTATTGAAATGTTTATTTTCACATGCTTTGGAAGTTGGGTATTGTCTCAGCCAAACTTGAGTGTGAATGTAGCTCTTGTTACATGCAGGTGGTGCATTTAATGTTCAGATTTACTTTTTAGCACTGATTAATCAAGGCAGGCGTTCCCTGGCAGTGAGTCCGAGCTGGGAGCGTGGTGGGGAGGGAGGGCTCTCCCCGTTCCCCAGCTGAAGCAACAGAGCGAAGCTGCTCCTCTTGTCACTATTACTGTCGTCCAGTTTAGAGGGTTTACAAGGACATATAGTGATAGGATGAGGTGTAATGGCTTCAGTTTGGAAGAGGGGAGATTTAGATTAGATATTAGGAAGAAATTTTTCACTCTGAGGGTGGTGAGGCACTGGCCCAGGTTGCCCAGAGAAGCTGTGGCTGCCCCAGCCCTGGAGGTGTTCAAGGCCAGGTTGGATGGGGCTTGGAGCAACCTGGGCTGGTGGGAGGTGTCCCTGCCCAGGGCAGGGGGTTGGAACTGGATGATCTTTAAGGTCTCTTCCAACCCAAACCGTTCTATCTTAAAATGCAGCTTTCTGGGACCTTTATTTGATGCTGCATAAAACTGCAAATGTGTGAATGGGGAATATCAGAAGCAGAGAATGCCTTGCAGCCTAAATAGATGAGAGTACCGAAGACACTGCAGAAATGTGTAGCATCTTCTTTCTTGGAAGCATAGTACTAAAAAGCTGAGGCTTTTCTCGAGCTTGGTGCAGTCTGGCATCTGTTGGGCTGCAGCTTTTAGCCTTCCTACCGACGCAGCACCTGGATTGCAGTTTTGCAGTTGTTTCAGGCAGGTCTCAGCCGGGGCTGCTTTGAGAGAGCCTGACCCTCTGCCTCCGTGTCCCCCTGTCCTGCCTTGTGCTGGTGCTGCTGCCCAGGCAGCTGTGCTGGGACCTCCGCCAGTTGAAAACTAGTGGCTTCAAGTGCTGTTTTGCCAAAGCTGCCAGGCCTGGCTCAGCGTGTGGCTGGAGGAGCGCTGGTGCCGGAGTGGAGAAAGGGGAAGGAGCAACAAGGTGGAGGGTTGTGTCTCCCATCAGCTGCCACTGGCACTTCTGTCACCCTAAAGCGACAACAACGAAACTAGAGTTTCAGTGTGGAAATGGGCTGCTTGCATTCCTACAAAGTTGTGTTTTAAATATTGTAAGTAAGATTTATTTATTTTTTTATGTACATACATGTAACTTTCTGGGCAAACCCATTTATTTACTTTATCATGGAAATAACTTCAGAAGGGTTGCTGTCACAGCAAGACAGTCTCTATTCTTCCATGTACCTGCAATATTATTTTTCTGTTATCAACCTCCATTCTATGTTTGCCACTTACCAGGAAAGGGAAAATTCAGCTTGGATGGGCAGACCAAAAGCTAGCTAGAACTTTTGTCCATTACCACTTTTTGTGGTGGTAGTTTGGTGGGGTTTTTTGGTTTGGTGTGGTGTGTTGTTTTTGTGTGGTGGTTTTTTTTTTTTTTGAAAGCTTAGTTCTTTCTAAGGGTGTCTCACTCTTAAATGAGCTTCCCGTAAACTTGTTACCTTCCTGCTTTGATTAGCTGCCTGCTGAGCTCATATGTGGAACTCCCACTGCAAGAATATGCCATTCAGTAGGTCGATAACTAGAAAAAACAACTTGACATGTAACTGAGCCTGATGGATGAGTGATGCCTGAGCACACAGAGCTGTCGGAAGGGATGCTGGCCGGTGTGCTGCTGGACCGGGCCGTCAGCCGTTCCCCTCCACAGGAGCATCTGAATGGCAGCCTCAGGCTCAGTCCCCTCTAAGCTTTTCTAGGCCATGGTTTCAGTGAAGCATTTATCTTCCTGCAGTTCCTTTGTCTCGACACTGTCACGCATCTACCCTGTCTGTACTTCTCAGGATGGAAAGGGAGTGGATTTAATCACAGAAATTAATAACTACACAGGTCTTCAATTCTATCAAGCTTTAAAATGATTTTTTTTAAAAAAGAGAAGGTAAAAAAAAAATAAATAAAGCCAGCCAGACCTCATTTGTTGACAAGGTGTGAGAAAAGCAACAGTAGCTTTAGCTGAAAATAATCTGTTTAAATACACACCTGCTAATCAGCTTTCTGTTGCCACTGTTAAATGGATATAGCCAAACTTAAGATTTCTGTAGGCTGTTTTGATGTAAGTATGGCGAGTTGATTCACAGTAGGGTCCTAGGCATAGGTTGGCTCAGAAAGTGAAGTACAGTTTGACTCTAATTTTGGCCACGTGGACGTGTGCACGTGTTTTGTGGAGTCCCAGCTGCCGTGTTCTTAATGCTGGTTGGTTTGCAGTTTGGGAAGGGGCAGTCGAGGGGGAGGACCCCGGTGTGCCCAGCTGGGTGTAGTCTGGTCCCTGCGTGTTGCTGAGTTTGAGAGGAACGTGGAGTCTCCTGCAGCTTCCACCCTGCACACTTTGGACTCCTTGGTTTCTTGCCTTGAAGTTTAATTGTGCGTGCTCCCAAGCTCCCCGAGTTACCTTGCATAACCAAATTGGCTTGCTGTCAAACTGTCCGTTTTGCTTGGTTATTCTGTATGACCCTTTCTACCAAAACCCTTTTTTTTTTTTCTTGTTTAATGATTTAAATAGGTGTCAGGATCCCAGAACCTGCCCTTGGCTGGGCAGACCGGGGTGGGGGGACGGTTACCACACACTGCCTTCTGATCTGGGCAGCTGGAAAGGCCTGCGAGGATTAGTGGTGATGGTGTGTTTGGGGATGGGCTTTTCCAGAGGAGTTCAAATTCATTAACAGTTGGGTTCTGAACTTGGGATTCCTTAAAATCTCCAGCCACGAAGGCTAAACTTTGTGGTTTGAATGTAAACGGGAGCCTGGGGCAGGTACGGATTGTGCTGTTTGGCACCTGTTTCCCTTCTTATTAAGATGCGAGCTAGTGCGTAAATTATTTCTGCTCACCTGCTTAATTACGTAAGCAGAAATTGCAAGAGCTGCGTATTTCTTCAGAGGTACGAAACTGCTCCTCTAAATTAATTTCACTCCAAATTGTTTCGGAGCCTCTTTGCCGCCGTGCTGGAGGTGCTCCAGCTCAGCCCTGCTGCAAACCGGCAGGTTCGGGGCTGGCGCAGCCCCTGCCCGCCTCGGCCCTTTGGACACGGCCGTTCCGGAGCTGGTTTCAGCGGGCCGGAGAGGCTGGCGCCTATCCTGCATAGCCAAGCACCGAGTCCTTCTCCCTTCCCTCCGTTTGCTGCATTGCGATTGAGAAACAACATTTTCTTCAAAATACCGTCATGCTTTTTTTTTTTTTATTCAATAAATGACCTTTAAAGTGTTCTGGAGGTTGGAATAAAAAAAAAAACCAAACTTTTGTTTTACAGACAGGTGGAGTGAATGTGATTTGGTTTTCAATTTTGATGATCTTTAAGAATACTTAATAGTAGGTAGATGTTTCTATCAGTTATTTGGGGCAGGGCCTGACTTGCCACGAGTGGTGCGCTTGCCTGCCTGCTCACACTGAAGGGTTTGCAGCATTAGAGGATAGGAACATACGTCCTGGCCGATATCTGAATGCTTCACATACGTATTGAGCCAGAGCCACTTCAGTGCAGCTGAAAGCATGCTTTTTTGGTCTGCCTCCCTCGTTTCAACTTGCCCAAGAACAAAAAGATGCAATGTGGCTTAACTTTGTGTACCGTTAGTCTCGTTATAGAAGTAACACCAAGAGAAACTTGGTCATAAACTTGAAAGCATGTTTGGGTAGAAGAAATTCCAATATTGAGAGAATCTGCCAAAACCATAAAATAATTAGATAACAATTTAAAATAAAAATTATATGGAGAAGGAAATGAACCTTTGTGCCTACAGTAGACTTACTGATCAACAGAACACATGCAATAGATCTTGCAGAGTGAAATGTAAAGTTAGAGCAATAAAGTGTTTACGTGCTGTGACATAACACCATGCTAGATACTTGATGTTTTCTGGTAATTATCCCCTTTTCACATCGCCCCCATCTATTAAAATGCTGCTGGTTTTCTGTCCTAGTGACCTCTGTAAAATTTTAGACAGTCTAATGGCTTTTCATAAATCATAACTAGACTAGGGAGTGACTTAGGCAATTTTATGAAGGTAACTCTGGTTTCAAAACAACTTAATTCAGGATTCAAAAACTATCTATATTTTATCTTCTTAGAGCTATGGTTATGGTGACTGTTAGGGGAATGTAAATTGCAAAATGCTTTTGTGTGAGCAGTTTAGCCATAAGGACTGCATGGGATGATGAATTGCTTTATAATTAGAATAAGAAAAAACAAAATTTTGTAAGGAGATACTGCACAATTGTAAGGTCTTATCTCCTGGCTACTTTTAGTGAAAATATGAAATAGATTTCTTGGATCTAAGGCAACTTTTGTAATCCTCTCCTTCAGCTGGTCCCCCTGTTCACGTGGTTTGGATCTGCTGCTGTTTGCACTATTGCAGGGAGTTGCCACGTGCCCGATTCTCCACATTTCTGTTTCGCAGTCATTTGGTTTATGGTTTTGGCACATACAGAGCTTTGCAATGAAACACCCATGGGGCAAATGGCCATTGTTAACAACTACATACGAATGTTAATTTTACATGTCAAAACCAGCATTTCTGATCTGAAGATACACTGTTGCCAGATCTCAGAAACTTCCTGCGATTGCCAGAGGTCATGGTTCTGCCCAAAAGAACCAGGCTCTTTGTTTATAATAAACAGATGCTAAGCCTAAAATTACAGATTAATCTTTCTCCCTATTGTAATAATACAGGGAGAGAGTGTGTTGTATGAGTGGGAGGAGAGGCTGGGACAACCAAGTGGGGGGAAAAAATATTAATGGCTTTGCTATTTGAATAAAGAAGTAAATCTTGCTTCTGGCTGCCAGCTACACCATCCCATATGCTCTGTCCTTAAAGTTTAAAACTGTTCAGTGTTACAGGTGAGATTGAACAAACTTAATGGACAAATGGATAGTGCATCTTTTCATCTCTGTGGCTTGACTTTTTTTCTCACAAATACTGTTGGACCATTTGTCTCCTGTTGTTTTCTTGCTCAGGGTCTGTGGTCATAGTGCATTGCATAAGGTGTGGAATTGCGGAGGGAAGCGCTTTAAGAAGGGAGAGGAAGCACAGTAGTTGTGTGCAAAAACTCTGAAGCATGCCCTTCGAGTGTCTCTGAAGTGGACGAGAAGTTGAAACAGATTTTGTGTGTACTGTTGGAAGAGTACACGTTCCAATTAGAAATTTGTCTTCCAAATTAAGCACCAGTTCAATAAGAACACTCTTGAGTAACCATTAAATTTGGTTAGTCAGGAGTTTTGCAGCATCCCCTTGCAGTGGATGAGTGGCGAAACTAAGGAATTACTTGTTTTCATGGCTTGTCACTTTCTTAAAACAAAGCAGTGTACAGTGATAAATTAGATGTTTCAGTCTGGAGATGGATAGGGATGTGTAAAATACTTGCTGCAGACACTTGAATCTCAAGTACGGGGACAAACTTCAGTTTCCAGGACTTCTTGTAACTTCAAATCAACAGTTCTTCAGTTGGTGCTTTTGTTGAAACTTCACATGTGCAGTTTCTTGCACCAGCATCATGCTGGTGTGAGTTCACTGGTGGTGTGGTGGTTTGGGTGACAGGGACTGAAGTCAGGCTTGCGATCTGCGAGGAAGCATTGCAGCCTCCAGCTTTGCGGAGGCCAGATGCTCCCTTGAAGGTAACAAAACCTTCAACTGCCAATGCAAGCTTCAGAAGTTTTTGTTTGCCTTTGTAAAGTTAGTCTTCTCATAAATCTGAATTGCAAACTGGCTGAACGAAAACTGATGTGTCTGTTTTCTTTGACAAAGGCGTGGTTTGCTGTTTGCTTTTTTCTGAAGCGTTCTGCATCATCTGAAGTTCGGCGTGCTGACGTTTAAAGATACGGCAGCGATAGGCAGCACATTCTTCCAGCTAAATGGAGGCAAACGGATGGCTCTGGCCTTACAAATGAAGAATTGGATGCTTGCTTCCTCCTCTGCTGGTTTTAAAGGAAGTGGATCATTTGAAGCATTTTGCTGCAGTTATTTCAAATGAGGCGTGTGTGTTGCCCGTCTCTCAGCTTTACCCCTCTTACTCTGCTCTAGATGATTGGATCCGTTCTGCGTGCAGTTGGCTGTGTACTGTCTGCGTTTGGCTCACTGCCTGGTTCTTATAAAATAATGTCCTCTACCTGTGATGTTTCCTCTTCCCCCAAAATGTGACAATACAGGCATATATATATAGCATATATATTCAATAACATTACACCAATGTGACGAATGTGTGAATGCTAATCTTCCATTCTATTTTTTTTTCTGAAGGAAGCAGTTACAGAAGTTTGTGGAAGGAATAAAGAGAGAGAAATAAAAATCTTTCTTGGTAGCGTTATAGGAAAATACAGAAAGCTGTGAAACCTGCTTGGGTTGCAGAGAATGTTGTGGTATGTTTCAGTTGAGCCTTTAGTTGCATCGTTGCCAGTCCCGGGATGAAGAGTTGGCTTAAATCTGTCCTGATCAGCAGATCTTTCACAGAGACCTAGCGCAGAGCGAAGCCTGCCGTTAGAACTGATTCGGGTAGACACAGATGTGCAGATGGATTTCCGTGCAGTGCAGCTCGCGCTCTTCCACTTTCTAGTTCAACTGCGGGTTCCAAGTGATGGCAGCGGGGCCAAGACCTCTTTACAGTTTCCTTAAAAGAGAGTGCAAGTATCATTCATCGAGTTACTCACTGGCTCTTGATGAGCTGTAGCAAAGAGGGAATGTGACCCGTGTGTAATGTGAGGCCCTCTGCCGGGGCAGGCTGCTTGCCCTAGAGCCCAGCCCAGTACTGCTTTGGGAGTCGGTCCTTGAAGATACTGTAATTCATGTCTCTTAAGGCTCAAACGCAGCTGCAATGAGAATTTCCTGTGCTGCCTGTACAAAACTCCTTGAATCTTCCCATGCTTTTACATAGAGTTTATATTTATGCTGCCTGGGCAGTGTGCCAAACTGCTATAAAGTGTATCTAGGCATGACTTCTCCCATATTTGATTGAAGATCGAGTTATTGTTTTAGCTGATTTTTTTTTTTTCTCTTAAGTAGACACTCATTTGTCTTAATTTATTTTAAACCAAAGCACTAGAGTCTGTATAGAAGCAGTTTTGCTTAAGGTCAGTGACCACATGCGTGTTGGAGGTCCTGTTTCACCTTGCTTCCAGGCTTTGGGGGCAGCTGGAACTGCAGAAGGCGCTTGCTCTGCTCCTGTTAACAGTAGGGAAAGGGCTCCTCCTGTTTGGGCCTCTCTGGCTGGAGCTGGGAACGCTCAAGAGTACGAGTTACCAACTTCTGCTTTGCCTTTTAATCAGCTGTAAATATGGGGAAAACAACTTAGGCAGTGTTCTTAGCTGACCTGTGTTAATATGGATGTAAAGAGAATTACACAGCTTTCTGTCCTGTTTTCTGAATACTCGGCACATTCTGCCCAGAACTGTTCTGTATCTTGCATGTTTAAGTATCTTGGGCATGTGCGTATTAGCAGTACATTTCAGATTGGCGGTTCTGTATCGGGCAGTCCGTGTCAGGCTGGAATTGCCTCTCTTGCATATCCTGAGTGTGAGTAACATGTTGAACGGATGGTCTCCAGGATATTAAGACTTTCAAATTTAGTTAAGTGGTTTATATATCAAGAAGTGAAGTACTCTGACAAATGCGCTACTGGAATGGAATCAAATTAGGTGAAGTAGCAAATCAATTAATTTTTTTATTGGAGCACTTCAGTGTCTCTTGTGAGACACTCATTATTCTATGTCATGACAAACTGTCACATGTGTGCTTTCTATAACTAGATTCAATTAATTCTCAGCATAAGAAACACTTAATTCAGTATTTTTGCAAAGATCTTTTCATGTATCCTTGGAGGTGGTGCTTGTTTCATGGATAAATTATATTTGTCTTTGTACAACCACGTTGCTGTGCAGAGTATTCACTATCTTTAATACTTTGTAATGAAGACAGTGAAATTAGCATTGAATTTGATCCTATTGCTTTTTCTCTTTTTTGTTTTAACATCTTCAGTAACCACTTCTGCAGCTTGTGAGAAATTGGAGAGAGACAGGAACGAACTGCAGGTTGCTTATGAAGGGTTTTTGCAGAAGTTAAACCAGCAGCATCACAATGATTTAGCTGAGCTGGAGGAGAGGCTTAAACAGTTTTACACTGCAGAATGTGAGAAACTCCAAAGTATCTGCATTGAAGAAGCTGAAAAGTACAAAGCACAACTCCAGGAGCAGGTTTGTAACTTTTGAAGTAGGAGTGTTCTCTAGCAATTGCTTTCTGCTACAAATGAACCTTGAGAGACCCCTGGGGTTTGCTAATAATGGAGTCATTTTATCTAATGTGAAACTCCACTTTGCTGCAACTATAAAAATATTAATTACTACACTACGCTGTCCAGATCTTAAGCTTGTGTTTAAATGTGGTGGAGATTCCTTGCGTTCTGCAAACTTCAATGACTTCTAGAGCTCCCCTGGATATTTGAGGCAGCTTGAGTTTTAAGATTTATAGCAACACCCCTGGCCTGTGACCTTGCTTTGCAACAACTCCATGTGTGTGACAGACGCATACATCATCCTGGTGGTAGTCGTAAACTGTAAGGCATCGGTCTCATCTATTAAGTGTTGTATGTGGCTTGGCTTCTCCTGTGACCGCCTGTTAAGTGCTACTGAGACCATTTAAAATGTACTCAGTGTAATGTGTAAAGCCACTGGCACAATACTTTAAATGAGGGTTAAGTTGACATATATAAGGGGGGAAAAAAATCACGTTGTCATATTGCAGGTGGACAACTTAAATATCACACATGAAAACTTTAAGCTGGAACTTGAAAACAGCCACTCAGAAAAAGTAGAGGAGCTGAAAAAGGAGTATGAATCCTCTTTTTCAGGCAAGTATTTTGTATTCAAGTACATATGCTATAGTACTGCTAGTCACAAACAAAAATATTCAAATGTTTTCCTCAGTGTGTCCATTGCATTGTTCTTGGCGGTCAGCTATTTAGAAAAACATTGGCTGAATTCCTTCTTTTGGAACTGAGCAAGTCTCATTTTACATACATAAATAACCATCATCCCGTTGTACTTGAATGAAACTTTTAAAACAGTTCAAGAGTGAAGATGACATCTTCTTTCAGCAAGAGCTCTCTGAATTGCAGTCTGCCCTTAAAATCTCAAGTTAATGAGTAATTGCTTCCACCCCCCTAATAAGGAGCACCTCGGAATTGAAATTGCGGATAAGGAGGGTTGTGTGCTTCCCGGACTGACATGGGAATGTTGAGAAATATTATATGCTGCCTAAAGTACACTGGGGCAAAGGTGATTTTTCAGGGAGGCGGTGGTGAGTGTGCTCTGTTGTCGGTGGCATTGCATCTAATTGAAGTGATGATGATTTCCGTCCTCCCGTGAAATCCACTTGATAGCCAAGTTTCCAGTGATACTTTCACGTCATTAAAACTGATGACGCTTCCACTGCAAAAAGGAAACTCTTCAGTGTGGCATCTCCAAAGTATGAAAGGAAATGTTTTTTTCTAGAAGCTTTTGGAAGATACAATTTGAATTTTTTGCTGCGTTTTCCCATCAGAAACTCAGCTTTTTTCAGATATGGCTCTCGTGCTCAGTTCCATTTGTTGCATGTAGTTGAATGCTTTCAAAATTGACACGCTGTCAACTAATGAAATGGATATACGAGGGGGCAGTCAACAAATCTGAAGAAGCAATAAATCTGATGCTTTGTACATGCTCTGCATCAGTTGATGAGATGTTCTTTCCTTGTTGTCATTGACTTTGCATCTGTGCATATGGGTACTGGCTGGCTTTTCATGCTGCTGCGTTTCAGAAAGAGTGTTCATGTCTTAAAGTGGTATTAAAAAGTTGCAAAAATAATCTGTTGCAGAGCTCAAGAGTGCCCACGAATCTGAAAGGAAGTCGCTTGAAGATTCCTTTAAAGAGAAGCAAGAGTTGCTGGAGGTTTGTTAAGGGTTGGGGTGATTGGGTGATTGCAACAGTCTAAAACTTAAAAGGCAGTTTGGAGATGTGCCCTGAATGCTTGGCTTAACTATACCATGTCTTTTCATTTCAGAAAAAAATCGATGAATTAAAATGTGAAAACGATTCTCTGAGTGAGAAGTTGAAATTAGAAGAGCAAAAACAAATAGCCAAAGAAAAAGCCAATCTTGTAAGTCTTGATCTTCAAAAGTAATGCGGATGAGCAGTTCTTGTAAGCCTGGGTTTATTTTATTGCATAATATGAAAGGTTTGCAATCAAGCCAGATAGGGCTCCCATGCTGATTAATATTTTATGTAAATGGCTCACCTACCAGAAGTTTTTCTCAATCGCTACAATGTTGTGTATTAACCTTACCATTATAAATCTATAAAGCTGTTGAATATCTAAGTCAGTGGTGTAAGTTATGACCTAAGTTAAATTGAAAACCTATGTGTACGCAGAAGTTGTACTGTAGCTTTCTTCTAGACAATCGATAAATGTTCTGGCAGCGCTACGATCAGTGTGGGCTTAATCACTACTACAGAACCCCCTTCTTGTGTTGAGTCTCTAATGCATTTACAGAATCACAGAATGGTTAGGGTTGGAAGGGACCTCTGGAGATCATCTAGTCCAACCCCCCCGCCAGAGCAGGGTCACCTACAGCAGTTGCACAGGACAGCGTCCAGGCGGGTTTTGAATGTCTCCAGAGTGGGAGACTCCACCACCTCTCTGGGCAGCCTGTTCCAGTGCTCCACTACCCTCAAAGTAAAGAAGTTCCTTCTCATGTTAAGATGGAACTTCCTATGTTCAAGTTTATGCCCATTACCCCTCGTCCTATCACTGGGTGCCACTGAAAAAAGACTACTCCCATCCCCCTGGCATCCTCCCATTAAGTATTTGTATGTATTAATAAGATCCCCCCTCAATCTTCTTTTCTCTAGACTAAAGAGACCCAAGTCCCTCAGCCTTTCCTCATAAGAAAGGTGCTCCAGTCCCCTAATCATCTTTGTTGCCCTTTGCTGGACCCTCTCCAGCAGTTCCCTGTCTTTCTTGAACTGGGGAGCCCAGAACTGGACACAGTACTCCAGATGCGGTCTCACCAGGGCAGAGTAGAGGGGGAGGATGACCTCCCTCGACCTGCTGGCCACACTCTTCTTGATGCACCCCAGGATGCCATTCGCCTTCTTGGCCGCCAGGGCACATTGCTGGCTCATGGTCATCCTGTTGTCCACCAGGACTCCCAGGTCCCTCTCCACAGAGCTGCTCTCCAGGAGGTCAGCCCCCAACCTGTACTGGTGCATGGGGTTATTCCTCCCCAGGTGCAGTACCCTACACTTACCCTTGTTGAACTTCATAAGGTTTCTTTCTGCCCAACTCTCCAGCCTGGCGAGGTCACGCTGTAAGGCAGCACAGCCTTCTGGCGTGTCAGCCACTCCTCCCAGTTTTGTGTCATCAGCAAACTTGCTGATGGTACACTCTATCCCTTCATCCAGATCATTGATGAATATGTTGAACAAGACTGGGCCCAGTACTGACCCCTGAGGGACACCACTTGTTACTAACCTCCAACTAGACTCTGCGCCACTAACCACAACCCTCTGAGCTCTATCTGTAAGCCAGTTCTCAATCCACCTCACTGTCCATTCATCTAACCCACACTTCCTAAGCTTTCCTGTGAGGATGATGTGGGAGACAGTGTCAAAAGCCTTGCCAAAGTCAAGGTAGACAACATCCACTGCCCTCCCCTCATCCACCCATCAGTCACTTCATAATAGAAGGCTATCAGATTAGTCAGATATGACTTCCCCTTGGTGAATCCATGTTGACTACTTCTGATAATCTTCTTTTCATCCATTTATTCAACATTGATTCATACTTGCTGCTAATTTATCTTCAGATAAACTTGTATTTTGTCCTGCTTTTCCTCCCAGGGCTGCTGTTCTGTGTGATGGTTAGAAATGTCCTCTGAGAGGTTTTTCATGTACTGGGAGGGTTAGACACAAGCATGCTTATTTCTCTTCACCTGGAAATAACTGGAATACCAGTAGTATTGCTTATCCCACAAGGAGAAATTCCGTGCTTAAAAATCCACTGAGGATGCTTCTAGTAGAAGTTGCCCTAGTTTTCACTGGAATTTAATTTCTTTTTTTCTCTCTTACTGCTTATTCTTGTGGCAGGACGGAGCTGCCACAGGAAGAATCTGCAGCCGCAGTATGTTGCTGTGGTTGGGAGAGATGATACCAAAGAGAACACCTTGTACACTGCACTCGGGAGTTTGAACTGTATTCCATAGGCACACTCAGATCTTCTTTAATTTAAAGGAGCAATAGTCAAGTGCCTTTACATAGCTGCAAATGCACTTTGCATCCTGACGGCATAAGGCACATCATAACCTCGAGGCCTCTCTGATACTGATTTGACCCAGTATATTCTTCTGTACTAAACACAAATTCTGCACTAGCAGAATTCCCATTAGCCCTTGGAACACAGAGATGTATTTCCAACTCTCCAGTATTATTTAAACAGTGTCACTTGATACTCCCAGCTTTTTTGCCAAAACCTTACCACGGCCTTTCAGTCTCTTTATCTGGCTCTGTGTTCTACTATGCGTAGCTAATGTGGTGACTCAGATTTAACTTTTAAAAGACATTTTAAGACCATTGGGGAAGAGGAGGGGAAAAAAAAAATTAAATTTTGAACATGCTGTAAGCTGGACTCAGCTTTTCAGGATCACTTTTCTCGCTAGCTCCTCAATTCTGTGTAAAGCCACAAAAGGGAGGAATTCAGTCTGCTGCCTCCTCTGAGGCAGCACAGCACACCCTGCTCTCACATGAACTTCTGTTCAAACGTCAAAATGAAACAAGACTCGCTAATGGCACAGTCTGTACTAGCAGGCGGGAGAACGGAACGTGTAGGTGTGGAGGCCCTTGTTACCTGGGAGATGTACTGGCTCTGTCCGTGTGGGACCGCACCCCGCGGGACAGCAGGCATTGCCCGCCGAGCCCTGGGTTTCTGATGCGGCAGTGAAGCTGTTACTCAATGCGGTACACCAGTATTCTTACCCAAAAACAAGTCTGTTTTGTTTTTAAAGATAAACTTAGTTAAACAACACGCTTAATCATTGATTGACTTCTATTTGCGTTCCACTTGGGCTACCTGGAAACGAACTGAGACTTGCTTTATTTCTCCTGAATTTTGCCTGTGACTGCCTTTGAAATGCAGAGAATGTGTTTTACTCTGCAGCGTTTGAAGGGTTCCTCAATCTAGAAAAGACGTCCTTGAGGAAATCGGATCTGACCCTGCCCTGTCCCCCTCCTGCTCTCCCCTCCACCTCCTGGAAAACAACAAAAAAGAGGAAAAATAAAAAAGAAAGTCCTAACTTGCTGTATTGCAGATAAGTCATGGATGTAAAGCAGCGCAAGACTTCTCTGTGCAATTGCATTGCTAGGCTTTAAGAAGAATGTAAAACCAAAAACTTCCCATTTCTGCTTATGAACCAGCTACCTTCAGACTCCAAACAGGGAAAATCAGCTTCAGTCAAGTTCATGCCTTTAAATTTCTGGTGCTTTTTGAACTACTCCAGCATCTGAAAACTCTTCAAACGTTCACTCTAATTACCTCTTGGGATGGGTTATGAGTAATACCAAATAAATTTTGGAACTCCTAGCCTTAAAGGGAGCCTTGGGCACTCCCGCAGAACAAGTTTTGCTGTGACAGCTGTAGTGCCTGCCTTTGACTCACGCAGGGTTTTCATAGTTGTGCATAAAGTGTTTACTGAACAGCTTCTAAGGAAAACTGCAACTGTCCGCCTACACCAAAGGGCAAACAAAAGCAGAGGAGAAAGTGGTAGCAGATCTCTCTCTCTTTTTTTTTTTTTTTTTAAATTCTAAACTGTTTGACTTGATTTCACTAAGAACAAGTAACTGTTGTTACCATGTTTATTTTCTTGCTCTTTCTAAATAGCAGCGAAAATCTTAAATTGTTCCTGAAATTCAGGGTACTAAAGCAAACTCTGTGGAAATCTTTCAGAAAAACCCGCAGATTATGTATCTGGAACAGGAGCTGGAAAGTTTGAAAGCAGTGCTGGAGATCAAGAATGAGAAACTCCATCAGCAGGACGTGAAGCTCATGAAGATGGAAAAACTGGTGAGTTTTCCTTAGGGTCTGGCAGGTTTGGACCGTGTCTGAGTTACATTCTGATTATGAACTCGGGCTGCTCAGTCTTACGAGGGAGGATTAATATTTTTTTTGTTTGTTTAAAAGGAAACATGAAATGATGATGGGACATGCTCACATTGCGGGTACAGTTATATCTGCATTGGGCTGTAATGTAAAGAGGGGGAAGGAATCACGGATGTTGTAAATGAGCTTTTAACATCTTAAGACAACTACTGGTTTGCATAAACTATTGCTAAATTAATACAGGGTTATCTGTGAGCCTCCTCCACATTTCCTTTCCTCTTCCCTCTCTTCTCCCCCATCCCCCAAAGAAAAAATGCTGACCTGCTATGTCTGGTTGAGTGTTATGGAAGATGGACTGAACCATCAGGAAAATGCTAACATGGAAACGATCCTAATTAAACAAGAAGGGATCAAATATGAAATGGAATAATTGTTTTCATCTAGAGTTGACTAGCTTCGGTCAATCATTTTAGCTATTATCTTTTAAGCCACTTGTTAAGCTGTGTCGATTTGTTCCTGATCTGTGCATAATTCCACAGGAAAAGGCAACTTTGGGGGATAGAACTTGTAATTACGTAGCATGCTCCTATTTGTGGCAGGACGGGGTCCTTATCCTGGGTGGGGCCTTTGAACACTGTTGTAATACTCGCTTAAGCAAGACTTTAATGAGGAAGCATAGAAAGAGGTTTGGATACAAAGGGCTACATTCATGCCAGTTGTTCAGTGTTGTACAGCATCAGATGTTGCCCCGGTCTACAATTACTAGCAAATGACTAGTAAACCTTCATCTCTTCTGACAGACGTTGCCCACAGTATAGAAGTCCATGGACCATCCCACTGTTTAATCACTGTTTTTTCCTTAACTTTTGATAACATCCCACAGCAATGAAGCCGGCTCAGGAGAGCAGCAGGGAGAGCTGTTTACACAGGGGAGCTCTTGTGCTGGTCGCATTAGCATGTTATTTCCAGTCTTCTGTCCACAACAACTTCTTAAAACTGCTGCCCGTCACTGGCAGAAGTTACTGGAACATGCTGGTTAACTAGTTGATCCCTTCTCCAGTCCTCCTTTGTTGGCATCTAATCAGCTCAAGTGGCAAACCGCCAGCGTTACGCAAGGATAAGCTATGTAGGATGTGTTTGACTGTTACAGAATATTAAGCCACCACAGCAGGTCAGCCTCTCGTTCCTCTACATTTTTGCACTTTTCGTAACGAGGTCTGCAAACTCCAGATTATGAACATCTGTGATAGCTCAGGCATTATCTTGATGAGTGTGTGTATGGGTTTTATTTTAAACTCTGACCTTTCTTTCTAAGCTGGAGAACAACACGATCTTAATGGATAAATTAAAGAAGATTCAGCAAGAAAATGAAGAATTAAAAGCTCGGATGGACAAACACATGGAGCTTTCAAGGTGAAAAATATCTGTGGACTTTTAGATGTTCTTATGAACCAGGGGGAGGTGTTCCTGTGACAAGAAAGAAAATTCTGTGTAAATATTAGTGACTGGGATTTTTGTAGTACTCCACAGAAGAACATGCCACTTTCTTCCCCACTTGTCTCTCTACAAATGTGCATCCCTATGTAGAAGAACAAGCAGGAACAAACTGTAAGGGGGAAAAGGCTCAGTTCATTCTTCAGTGCTCCAAAACGGTATTTCAGGGCAGAAGCAGCAACTCAGAAATATCATCTTATTATAGACTGGCTCTTTAAGTATTACTGGCTTGTGAGCTAAACCTGGTTTTACTTACAACCACTTTAGTCGAGTGATTTGTCCCCAGTTTAGATCAGTGAAAAGACCGGTGTTTTATTTAGCAATAATAGTAATACTTAACAGGAACAAAATGGGCGTGAGGTTCTCCTGACTTCAACTGTTGCTTAAATGGATGGGCAAACTCTTCCAGCCTGAAGGAAACTAAAGAAATGCATCTTCTGTGTAGAGCTGAGCCTGTGACAAGACCCAAAGGTTCCAGCATGGCCATTTAAAAGCATCTGTCATTCTAAGTGGGACAAGTCTCACTTTTCAGATGCTTTTTCTCATCTCTAGGAATGTTTCTTATCAGGACTTTCTCCTGCTTTCTACAAGGTCCCAGTGTAAATACAGCAAAGATGAGAATGCTGATGACTCCTTTTAAGGAATTAATGTAGTTGTAAGCCAAGGAGGGGTTTATGTAATTTCAAACCTTTATTTAACAACTAAGTTCAGTGCTGTAGCCTCCAATTTGGGTTATGTGTTCTGATGTAAATGTTGTGCTTGCAGGCAACTGTCTACGGAGCAAGCTGTTTTACAGGAGTCGCTAGAGAAAGAATCAAAAGTAAACAAACGCCTGTCAATGGAAAATGAAGAACTTCTGTGGAAGTTGCACAATGGCGACCTGTGCAGCCCACGAAAACTGTCTCCCAGTTCTCCATCTGTGCCTCTTCAGTCCCCACGAAATTCTGGTAACTTCTCTAGTCCCACAGTATCACCGAGATGACATCTCTTGAGAGAAAGCGGGGATTGCATTTCATTTGTGATCTGCAGAACCGACCCTAACTTTTCATCACAGGAGCAAGAGCTATATTAGCTGACTATGATGACTAAACATAACTGGAAACTATTTGGTGCAAAAACGGCGATAAGAGACTGAGAATATGGGAGTAGGACACTCATGTTGCTCCTCCCAAAAAGACTTTGTTTATGACCTCTACGGACATTGCTGCACAAAGCACTTACAGAGCAAGGAAAGACTTGTTCATTGCCTTTTCACCCAACTATAAGAAAAAGCTCAGGGGCTTAGAGATAAAGATCACAACCTTTATAATATGTTCCTTATCACCGACACTTTTTTAAGGCCGTGTGTGTGCGTGTGTGCTGTGGATGGAATGGATGTAACACACTGTGCGTGTGTCTAAATGCTGCCTTCTTTGCTGTGTACGTAATAAAGGATAAAAGCTAAAGACTATACATTGACATGTATTTCCTTAATAATGGTGTCAGTATGCATGTGTTTAGCAAGAGTACCCTCCCCTGGGAAAGAGGAGAAACTGCCACTAGTACTACAGGTTAGTTTCCTTCTTTCTGCCTTCAGTTCAGTAACAAAACCGGCATGGAAAGCTTCGTCAACTGACTCATTAGTGTCTTGGCTGACCCGAATATGCAATTTTGAAGTAATTTTAAAAAACTGACTTGCAGCCATATTTTGCATGGATTCTTGGTTTAATATCCATGCACAACTCTGCCATTTATGAGGAGATGTTTTTTGCAGGATACAGTGGATTTTGGCTTTCAAGTCAAACAGGGTCATAGTCAGAACCATGGTAGCCCTCAAGGTTAGAAGTTATTAGTTGAGTTGCAGGTTTAGGAACCTAGACCTTGCCTGCTGGAAAGGAATACTTATTTCCCCTGAACAGCATATCTTGCTGAGGCCATCCACTGAGGATAAACTAGACGGAGTTGAAAGCCAAAGAGAAAAATGCAATAACTGTCATTAGGTGCATTCTTAACTCAGTTCTCAAGAAGAATTTTAAGTAATTTGTGAATTCCGCTGTATCTGGGGACACACTTTGCCTTTTTAAGCATCAGCATTTGTATTAACACTCTTCAGCGTTGGCTAAATTCACCTGAGGAAGAGGGGGAAGGTTGTAGTTGTGTATTTATCTTGCCATACCTTCCCTCTTAGACTGCAGAATATCTGTGTTTTGCTGGTTCATTTGGCAAAAGAGCCGGTAAAAGATTCTGTAAAAGAAAAGCTGTCCTGGCTGCTGGAACTGGAGGCTGAGGGTGTCAGTGTTTCTGGAAATGGCATATGCTGTGCTTCAACAAGGTAACTGCGTAGCTTTGCTGCACCCTTGGTAAGACCTGTTTAAGATCCTTTATGCTCTACCTGCTAAACACAGGTTCAACTTCAAATTCGTATTACAAAACACTACCTGTGCTTACGATAGCTTGGGGTTTTACAGCACCACTCCCAGGACTGTTGTTATAGTACTGTTTAGCCAATGCTGTTAGCCAGCTGTACAGGTAACTGTTGGGGTAAATTGTATCTGCTGAGTCTCCCAGTCTTTTCCAGTAGCTTGGGGACAGGAATTGCAGGGGTGGAAAGCATTTACGGAATACAACTGGAGAACCATGTCAAACCATTTTACCCAAGACTTGAAAAATCTTGGCTAGTAATGAGGAACACAGACCTATAAACCAGACCGTTAACAGTGCTCATACAGCAAGTAAACTTGTAATATACTTAAACTTGTGATTGACTATTCCATCATTAAATTAATTTTCCATAATATACAAATTAAGGGTGCAATTTCTGTGGAACATTATGCTCTCTTTTAATCCTCTTTAGGGCACTGTACATACCACTTGTTAGTGGTGTCAGTACTTAAAATGTTTTCTAGGGGTTATCAAAATTGACTATGAAAATCCTTTGCGGGCTAAAGCTTGGCTTAAAGTATACCTTGGAACATTTTTATTTTCTATGGTCAAAGACATTTGATCACATGTATTTGAGCTGAATGCTTAAAAAAATAAATTGTTTTTGTACTGATTGAAGGGGTTTTCTCCTGCTTGTATTTAGTCAAGTGATCTTTAAGGAGGAACATTCCTCCGAATACTTAAAATCTCCTGGTACCTGCTCAGAACGGCAATAGTGAAGCTTCACTGCACAAATTATTAATGTTCAGCTAACCCTTAGAAAATTTTAACTCTACCCTTGCTACTCTTGAGTAGGCAGAAGTTACACAGCTGGCTTGTGATTATTAGTGATTCAGTTTGAGTTGGCTTTTTTAAAAAAAACAAACAAAAAAACCCAAAAGGAGAATGTAGATAACATTACAGAACTAAGCAATAATAAAATACTTGAATACAGTTGGCTTAATAGAGGGACCCAATGTGCGTATGTCTGCTGAAGGCATCCGACAGGACTCACCTTACTAAAGTGCTCACCTTATTAAGGAACTTCTTTTGTATAAGAAAAGCCACATAGTTTAATAAGCTAACAGCTCGTGTCAGAAGAACAGTTGTCTAGCCACTGGTAAGAACTTTCTTATCTTAGTTGCAATGTTAGTGCCTCAAAAGATGCAAGAAGAGTGCAACAAAAGTTTGAAGATCAAATATAGTGTACCCCTGTGTGTAACAGAGAAGGGGAAAGCTTTTCCAGGCTATCAGTACAGAAAAGTAAGTATGGTATAGTAAATAATACAAAGACTGTTAATTTGCCCTCCACAATACAGGGCACTGCTCACCTCTAAACTTTTTGCAAATAGAATCTTTAATGCTGTTATGAATAAATGAAGAATCCTTGTATATAGAAATCAGACGACAGAAATGCCTGTTTAGTGTTTGTCCTGTTGGTCTGAAAGGATTAAATAATTCTGTTCATCTGTAAGCACAGTTTCAATATTTTTCACCATTTCAGTATTAATATTTTAAGCTTCAATTTAAATACCATGTGTTAGCAAAGGCTTTGCTTGACCAGTAACTTCTACATACTTTTTGTAATCTCTTTAGCATAACGTTTCCTTCAGGAGAAGCTAGCAACCTGCTCACCATAAATATATGCCAAAGGTCTACTGGTAAGTCAAGCATTAAACAAATGGTTGGCTTCAGATACTCAACCTTAACTAGCAGTTCCAACTCTAATGATAAGTTTCAGAGGAAGTTACAGTGACATTTATATCTGTACCAAATTGTTTGCTGCCATTCAGACTATTTGTAACATGGTTCACTTCCCTTCAATACTTTTCTCTAAAGGTCTTTGTATGAGTTGCACTGTATTTGCTGTAAAAATTGAGGTGAATCATTTCCTTATGGTAACTGAAGACTTGGAAGTTTCTCATTGCAAACACCAAAGACGCTTGCATGTAAACTGGTGTTGTGCAATTCATGCTGGAAATTCCTTCTAGACAGTAACTAACCACTGATCTTTAAAACTGTAGTTGCCTGACAGCCAGGAACTCATTTTGGGTTGAGCTGGAGTTAAAAAGGTCATCCGAAAGTTGGAATAATCATTGAACCCTGAAGAGACAAATACCTTCTGTCCATTGCTGCTGCCTTGCCTTAGCAGAGCTGTGACTGAGGTATGGAAACAGAAATAACAACACTGGCAGGTTTAGGCATGTGACTTTGAGAAGTCACTTAAATTTCATTTCCTGAGCTTCATTCTCTTACACATTTCCACATAAATGAACAGTGACACAGGGTAATTGCATCAATGTGAAAAGAATCGGGCCTGCCCAGGAGGCTTTTGGTAAAGTAAGAACTATGTAAAAGAGATAGTAAAATAATTCTCATAGTTTACAATGATGAGAATTATTTGGATGTTTGGGGGAGGGGGAACAACCACCAAAAATTCTTCCTTAAAGGCACTGCTTCTGTAGCTATAATCAGCCTTAACTGCATATGATTGGTACATATAACCATTAAAGCTGAGGGAGACTGCTCGAGCAGTGATGCAGCAATGGATTTATATTGTCTCTTCTTCTGCCAAACTGTCACCAAGGCAGTGATGCTACCACATGAACTGCTGCACTGTTAAGAACAAGTCTGAACAGGTGACGCTATCTCCCATTTGCGAGGTATTCTAAAGGAAATCAATGTCAAATTAAAGGCTCAAAAGCACTTTGAAATTTAAGAAGTCGGCACAGCTCCTGTAGTTCAAAGGGAAATAGATACATTGTTCTGATAAATGAAAAGGCTAAAAAAACAATGAACACATTGCACAGCATCATCCAGAAGCTGAGTGATTGTTAAAGATGCTTTGGTCAGATTGAAGTATTGCCTAAAAAAAAGGTACACAGACTTTTAGGTATTATATAGAATTGTGTAACACCTATTTAGTCATTTGGGTAACAGTATAACATTTGTGATACCTTTTAATAGCAATGAGAAAGATGATTAACAATGGACTGCCTCTTATGCCTTCAAAGTTGATCCTATAGCTTGCTTTGGGTTTTTGTTGGTTTTTCGTTTGGGTTGGTTGTGGGGGTTTTTTGGTAGCTACCTTGTTTCCAGAGGCCAACAATATTCTGGGCATCTGGGGAGCATTCTCCATAAAAACAATTTAATGACACACGCACAGAGCCATTTCAGACTTTACCATGGATATTTATCATATTGTTTCCATTGGTTTAGGTTCCTGCATGCTGAAGAAAAAAACCTTTCAGCAAGCTTGTTTAATGTTTTCATTAGCTACACTAATGATCAGGTTAATACCATCATTGAGAAGCTGTCGATTCTACTGGATACCACTACTCAAAACAGTGCTGTATGCATCTGCTCAAAGGGCTGAATTATCTGGAGCACAGGGCTTACTTCAAGCCTTCACCAGGAGAAAGATTTAGGAATTCTAGTCAAATGCAGGCTGAAATGAATCCTGCATCACACATTTGAAATGTGCAAGCAAGGGACCCGTTCCCAGTTTGGTTCCTTGCATGCTCAGAACAAGCTGTTTTTCACTCGCCTTGTAAATAAAGTGGCTTGCATTAAGACCATTTTTGTCACGCAATTACACTATGGAGTATATTTGTATTGGAAGTTTGGGCTTACCTGGATTCTGTGCTTGAGGCTAGGAAGTAAAAGCATTGCCAAAGTGTCCAACAACATTGTTACTAAGTTCTTACCTTTTCCCTGGAAAGTTGCTTTCCTGGTATTGGTAACTAAACCCAGGGTGACAGAAGCAGTGGCTTATTTATCCAGATAGCATTCTGTGTAAATGAAACTTCTTTCCTTTTCTCCTAAGTAAATTAATACAATCAAGTTGATCTGTTATTAACCTGAGAAGAGATCCTGCTGTATAATCAAACATTATTCTAATGTTACATTTGGGTTTTTTTTCCTTCTGTAAATGATACTATGTAAATAAATGCAAGTTTTACGTTTAGCAAACAAAATTTGCTACATAATTTAGTAAACATAACACCATACATCTATTGAAGAGCGAACTCTAAGTAAGCTACATATTAT